ATCCAACCATCATCATCCACCGTCATCCGTCCACATTATCATCCATCCATCCATCCATCCATCCATCCATCCATCATCATCTGTCCACATCATCTTTCATCCACCCACATCATCATCCATCCATCATCCATCCATCCATCATCATCATCATCATCCATCCATCATCATCATCATCATAATCATCATCATCATCATCATCCATCCATCCACATCATCATCCATCCATCCAACCATCATCATCCATCCAACCATCATCATCCATCCATCCATCCATCATCATCCATCCAACCATCATCATCCATCCACCGATATCATCATCCATCCACCCATCCACCATCCATCCATCCACCATCCATCCATCCACCATCCATCCATCCATCCATCCATCCATCATCATCCATCCATCCATCATCATCCATCCAACCATCATCATCCATCCACATCATCCATCATCCATCCACTGATATCATCATCCATCCACCCATCCACCATCATCCATCCATCATCATCATCATCCATCCATCCACATCATCATCGATCCATCCATCATCCACCCACATCATCATCCATCCATCCATCATCATCATCCATCCATCATCCATTCATATCATCCATCCATCCGACCATAATCATCCTCCCACATCATCATCCATCCATCCTTCATCATCCATCCCACCATCATCATCCACCCAAAATCATCATCCATCCATCCATCATCTATCCTTCATCATCCATCCAACAATCATCATCCACCCAAAATCATCATCCATCCATCCTTCATCATCCATCCCACTATCATCATCCATCCACGTCATCCATCATCCATCCATCCATCCACCCACATCATCATCCATCCATCCATCATCCATCATCATCCATCCACATCATCCATCCATCCACCCATCATCCATCATCATCCATCCACGTCATCCATCATCCATCCATCATCCGTGTACATGTTTTTTTCAGTGTGTTGCTAAAATAAAAGCTGAACCTAAGCTGTACCACAGAGACTTGGTAAAAGCTTACAGATTTTGGTAAAGCTGGTCCTGTACACACAGTATCACAGACTCTCGCCTGGATGATGCACTCACATATTTCTGTAGTCCTTGCTCTAATCTAAGCCTCAGTCACACTAGAACTAAACAATGTTCACTCCGCTGAATCTTTGTTTTTTCAAGTCTCATGGTAAAGCAACTGATAACAGCACAGGACAGAGAAGACCACTGACAGCTGGAGAGCCACGAAGGTGAATGAAAAAAATATGACTGTGTATAGCGTTTACAGTTTAAACCATTGAAGCGTGTGTTGGTGTGAAGAGAAGCTGAATGAATTCACTCATCAGGGCAGGCGGGTTTCCTGCATGAATGGTTAGCTCGCGACTGTAACCTGATTGTAGGTGCAGCGGTGAGATCAATGAACCTTTGAGGGGTCGGTGGTCAAAAAAGTGCTCTAGGAGCCATTGTTTGTTGTTGTTACCTTATGTGGTCACTTTTTGTGTTTTAACAGTATGGCATGTTTTTATGGTAGACACATGTAATTAGAGTCAGGTGTTGTTGGTCAGAAGGAGCAAACGGTTTGGGGCCGCTGATAAGAGTCTGCTGAACAACAAATGCAACTGATGGAAAGCAATAAATGTGTTAAACAGGCAAGATAAGTATGGCTGGAGTTATTGGACCAAGTTTCATTCATAATAGTGGCATTGCGTCACCTCTGCCAACGAACACCTCGGTAGCTTCAAGCGTAGGCTTAGCCTCTTGTGATGGCCAAAACCATGGCCGCACTAAAAGTGGGCAACTCTTACATATTTTAATTCATTCCTTCATCTAAACACAATCACACACTTTGGTTTGCAATAGGTTTATTGACTGGTTTGAACACATTTGTTCTATTCGCAAGCGCGTACATTTAGTTTACTTATATATTCATACCAATTCATTTCTGATTTTTGGTTTGATTGTGACTAATCTTTGTCTCTTTTACTGGTTTCTTACCTGCCATCATCCCTGGCATCTTTTGTTGCCAGACAAAAGATATTGGCCAGTGTTTAAAAAACTTGAATACATAGATGGGCTGACTGGACCACACCACCACTTCCTGTTGAAGGGGGCAGAATGTGTATTTTCTTTAGTTAACCTCCTAGGACCTGGCGTCCACATATGTGGACATCGCATTTTGGGTTAGACTAAAATACTCAATTTTGCTCTACAACGGCCTGATATCCACTTATGAGGGCATTATACTGATACTGTTCTATCAAAATTTTAAATGAATATCCTCATATGTGGCTCTCATTTTTCTTAGAAAAATAAGACAGCTGGGATAGGCTCCAGCGCCCCCGGCAACCCTGAAAAGGATAAGCGGAAGCTAATGGATGGATAAAAATCAGGTAAAAAAATCTGGTAATTTTTACATTCATTGGGTCCCAATCAGCCCAGATATCAAAGAGAAATTAAAAATGCTGCCGTGGAAGAGTTCGGGTCTTAGGAGGTTAAACATGTTTTTGTAGTTAACTAGATATCTGAGTTTAATGTTTTTGATTTCCTTCTTTGCTGTTTAGTTTATTAACAAACTGAACTGCATCGTTTTTGTGGTATGTGATTGTGTTTAGTTGTTGCTGTTTTGTCATAGTGGTCTGATCAGCCATTATATATACCATCCATCCATCCATTCGCTTCCGCTTATCCTTTTCAGGGTCGCGGGGGCGCTGGAGCCTATCCCAGCTGTCATAGGGCGAGAGGCGGGGTACACCCTGGACAGGTCGCCAGTCTGTCGCAGGGCCAACACACAGGGACAGACAACCATTCACACTCACATTCACACCTAGTGGCAATTTGGATTATCCAATTAACCTATCCCCACAAGCTGCATGTCTTTGGACGGTGGGAGGAAGCCGGAGTACCCGGAGGGAACCCACGCAAACACGGGGAGAACATGCAAACTCCACACAGAAAGACCCGGCCTGATGGTGGAATTGAACTCAGGACCTTCTTGCTGTGCGGCAACAGTGCTAACCACCGTGCTGCCATGCTGCCATTATATATACCTTTGTGTGTCATTTCCTGTTTGGGTCAGTTATGTTTGTTTGGGCAGTCGTTTCACATTTCTTTGGCTGAGTTTAGTTTTTTTTATGAGCTCAACATTTTTGTTTTGTAGATATAACTTTTTGGGTTAAATAAATGAAAACCTGTTTTTCTAACTCCTTGTGCAGTACAGTGAGAGCGCGCCGATAATAGAGTTTCGAACCTCTATCCCTCCTTAAAAAGCTGACTGAGGAGCCTGCTGGTTGTGATTGTCAGCTCTCATCCTGCAGAGCCGAATGTTTGTTGTCTGGGTTTGTTGATTCTCTACATGTTTTCCAGCAGGCCTGGACGCAGACGTGGATGTTGTCAGATTAGCCGTCAGCTAGTCCGGTGTTGTTCCTGTAGGACGGCCATGTGTGACTGACCTGACCCAAACGAGGCACTAATCTGCCTTCGAGCAGGAGGTAACTGTCGGGCAGAGCTTAGTCACCGAGCTAAAGAACAGGCTGAGTGCAGGATTTAAACTGAGCACCCGGCTGCTGTGATTCAGCAAAACTATTGCCATGGTCACCATGGTAACCCTTATCATTGATTTCTTCACTCTCAGTACTGAGATCTAAATTACAATTGAGGATTATCTGCGGGTCTTCACAAACTGAATATAAAGGTCAGTATCAGAGGTTTCTCACTCCGCGTGATGAAGCATGCCTGAGATGTCTCTTGCGCCATGTTGGTTCTTGTTTTCAGGAAGTGACCATATTTGGATGAGAGGAAGGAGCACTAAGTTAAGAGCTAGTTATCAGTCTACAGACACAGATACCTGCTAATCAATAACAAAATCCCACAGTTTCCCTCATTAACCCTGGAGCTCAGTTTGTTACTACGGCAACCTCACAGCAGACATATTATTGGTCACAGGTGTTTGATGTCACCTGTCAGCCAAAGTTTGAGAAAACAATTTAAAAACAAAAATGATTTCTTGCCTGGGAGTTTTTCCATCTTTGTTTTTTTGGCTCATCTAACATTTTTCAGACGTCTCCATTTGTCTGCTTAAAAAACTACCAAATAACTTTCCTGTCATTACTCATCACTGCAGCATGAACAGCTTTACATCACTGACTCATGTTGAGAATATTTTTCTATGTGGAAGTGATGCTTTTTGTAAAACTCGAGCAGAATAGGAATACATACACATAACCAATAATTTGTGACCACACAGACAGGAGCAGAGATAATCCTGAGCTCAGAAACATATAAACATGTGACTAAACAAAGAGCTTTTCAGGAAATCAGAAGATTTCAGGATGTTTACGAGTAAACTTTGTGTGTGCAGCAGTAAAGGAAGTACAAGTACCTGTGGATCACCTCATAAATTGACTGCAACATAAGTATAATCTGAAAACTGTACTTAAATTACTGTATTTTATTCCTCCGGACAATTGTACTGCTGGAGCATCGAGACACCTGCAGCAACAGATGAATGTGTTCCTCCATTTGATTTGTAAAAGTTCTTAAAGTAGTGAGAAACCTTTGTTGTGACTCATCGTTTCAGCCCATAAACTGTACGATTTTAACATCATCCCATTTTTACAAGTTCTCCATGGTTTGTGTAAAAGTCTTAGTAAAAGACTCAATGGAGGAACAAGTACCACAAATTTATACTCAAGTATTAAGTAAATGTACTTACACGTGTTAAGAAAGGAGAAAGGCTTCTAACCTCCCAGCACGAGTCCGCTCTGTGAGAGCTACTAAACTTTCAAAACTTCCAGTCATGGGCGTGGCTACTGGAGCCCCGCCCCTGCGTGGAATTTGATTGTCACACCCCGAAACAGTGCTGTGACATCATCACAGCCCGGGCAGACATTAGGAGGGGCCACAAGGAGGTCTCGATTATAACTGCACCTCCTCCAGCAGAGGCAGCAGTGAGTCATGATGTTTGGTCTCTGTGGATAATCTCAGCCATCATAACAACGGTACGCTGCGAGGGTGTTTAAATTGTAGGAAGTCTTAAAGTTTGCATTGTCAGAGGCGTGGCCTTTTGACTGACAGGTGGATGGTGACACAGGCGGCTGCAGCTGCAAGTTTCACTTGAACCTTTTGGAGCATTTTTAATGATACTATCTGACCAATAATATCGCTGCTGTGAGGGTACTGTACTCACAGACAGTCAACGAAGGCTGCGCTCCAGTGTCGGTGATGTTACTGAATTAGCATCATCTGTATCAGCGTCATGCTCCATACAGTCTCACCAAGCTGGCTAGCATTAGCACGCCTCCCTCTCGTTTACGTCTGGGTAAAAAACAACGCTGTGGTGGTTAAACGCTAAAATGTGAATCCTGAAACGAATGAGTGATTTCAGTGTGCTTACTGCCATCTATTATATACAGTCTTTGTCCCTGCAGATTTACGATTTAAGCCGGAGCATTATTTAGCAATGTTCGAAGTTTTGGTTTAGTACATATATTTGCCCCTCATTTAAAAAATCCTGTAATCAACCCGTGTGTCCACCCTGACTCCATTTTCACTATAGCCCAACATTTCATGCAGTAGGTTTCCAGTCTTGGCAGTCACTGTGTTAGAGAAACAATCCCAACAGAGGCACTAACACCCCAGCACTACAGAACTGCCCCTTCAGTGCGTGAACACAGAAACGATGAGGATAACCCCGCAGTATCATTCAAGTTAAAATCATATTATCATCATGAGAGGAACTCTGCTCATATCATCAGGACTCTCCTCTTCCTCCCTGAGGAGCTGACCTTGGTGCAGTGGAGCTGCAGGACTGTTAACTTCTTTAAAACCCAAACATGTGAGATTTGCTGAGCCTCACACAGCTGACCGTCACATTCAGGCTGATTCCCACACAGGTCTCGTTGCTTAGAAAGCTGTTTCCTTTCCTTAAACCAGCAGGAGACACAGAGGGTCACCCCTCATCATACCTCTGGAGTCCTCATACTCACCATGATGATGGAGTTGGTGACAGTGGGGTTGTGGACGGACCAGGCAGCCATCAGACAGGCCATGGCCGAGAGACAGCAACACTCTGACACACATCTGATCAGTGCCTCACTGACAGGCAGCAGCCTGCACTCATGGCCCTGCCCCCTCACCACTAACCCCACCCCTGTCTGGTGGCCACACCCCTCTCTGTGAGCAGTGAATAACATCAGTGGTGCTGCCTTAAAGAGAACAATTTAAAAACATGTACAATAATCTGCCAGCGTTTTTTTTATTATTTGTGTTTGTCACCTAAAAACAAACAAACAAAAAATTTCCACAGGTGCTCTACCCACAGCCTGTAAATAACAGATGGACACTGCCACCTGGATAATGTCAGATTAACGGGAAAACAGACCAAATTTAAGCACGCTCATTTATGATGAAGGTCTTTAGACCGATGATCCCAAACACTCACCGCAGAGCTCCCTCTGAGTCTGCTGGGGGCTTCTTCCTGTCGTGCTTACACGCGGTTGTCTGATTGTTGTTGTTTCTGTGTTATTTAGCTTAATGCTAACCCAGCAGCCGTGTGCCGGGCTGACTCCAACAGTTTACATTTGAACCAGTTTGACCTCATTATGGTTAAAAACTCCTGTGTTTCACATAAATTTTGTGTTTGAGCAGCTTCAGCCTCTTGGACCCTGAGCATTTTAGCTGCCACCATCTTGGTTTTGGGGTGGAGTCTCAGAGGCCATTTGAAGACATGTGAGTATCAGACGGTCTCTACATCATCAGCACGAATGTTGCGTACGATTTTATTTGACGTAACTTTGTTCAGTTTGGTTTCTGCAGACTGAAGCCAAATATGAGGTTTGGAGTTTGACATGTTTTTATCAGGAAATCTTTAAAAGCTTTGATTTCATTGTTTCACGTCGTGAGCTCTGAAATGTTTTACAGTTCAAAGAGCAACTTTAGTTTCAATCTCTGTGCTGCAGACTGAGTCAGGTTAAAATGTAACTGCATCCATCCATCCTCTTATCCTTGACAGGGTCATGGTGGGGGTGGAGCCTATCCCAGCTAAAACTTGCAGGAGGCGGGGCACACCCTGGACAGGTCGCTAACACAGAGAGACAGACAACCATTCATACCTGTGAATGGACGGGCCAGGCAGGCGAATCAAACTCAGGACCTTCTTTAAATTGAAATCAGCATCGTTTTGCTGTCAGTTCAGACGTCGCTGCTGGAAAACTGAACCTCATCAACGCCTGACGGCGCTCAGAGGCACAGACAGGAAGTGCTCAGACCCTCCACGTGTCCAATCACTGACTCTTTAAGAGAAACCGTGTGAACAGTGTTGGAGCTGCACGCCGGCTGCTGCCTGTGGACGCGAACGTCAGCCTGAGTTCTCCACCTGCTGGTCGGACAGCGGTGCTGCACCACAAACACCTCCACACAAACCAAAGCCACACCCAGAGGTTGCTGACCAGGTTCACCTGTGCAGGTGACCCTGTGGGGGCTGAGAGCTGAACTCAAAGTGAGACACACATCCAGATGTTTCTCTAACAAGATCCAAGTTTAATGTTTTTTTTAACACAGAGAAAGCATCTGAGAATAAAAAACTTTCAAAATAAAGGTCTGATCAATGTCCACTTCCTGTTGTACGGCACCAACACGTCAGCCAGTGAGCCGACGCGCCGGTTAGTTCACCTGCTGCTGCAGTTCAAACTGATTCTCACATCACAGAGAAAAAAATGACGAAAACTTTACTTTTTTTTAAACACTGAAAATATCACATTTTATTTTTAAACCGTTGGCCATCATTAGCTGCTTATTCCCCACCTCCGTGACCCTTACGTAAGGCTCCGCCCACCACAGCCATGTCACACAGCGGTCCTTAAACCTTTAATACTTGGAGACCCGGTGAAGACGCATTGAGTCTCAGGTTGTTTTTAAATAGCTGAAATGTTCCTAACCTAAACCTGACCTTTGACCTCTGAGTGACAGTTAGCTGTGACAGGAAAATAAACCCTTCAGAGTGGAGCTGAGCCTCTGACTCTGGTCTCTGTCCCTCCTGAAGTTCACTGGTTTCTGATCATTCCCACTCTCAGAGCATGAGTGGGCAACACGGACCTGTGACTCCGCCTGCTGCCGAGTCTGTCTAATAAAGGAGCGGCCGCCGGTTTGCGGCTGAGCGTGCTGACCTCCGGGGTTGTTCAGAGTGTGGTGGTAAAAACAGACAGACTGCAGATTTCAGATTTTTAATATGAATGCATGAATAAGTTTCCTCTGGCAGCTCCTGATGGAGCCGGCGCTGAAACCAGTGAACTCTGAGGAGGAACAGAGGAGGCAGACTCACACCACGTTTGCTTCCCGTCTTTTATTTGGTCTTCTTGTCGGCGGCGAGCGTGTCGTGCAGTTTAGAAACGCTCTTCTCAAACTGGTCCATCACCAGCGTCCCGTGTTCGTCGAAGAACGCCGACACCGACTTGGTGAAGTCCGCCTCTCTCGACTTCTTGGACTTCCCGTCGGAGAAGGACACCCGGAGCGTGTACTGGTCGTCAAACCTGGAAAACACCGACGCAAACTGATCCACTCTGAGTCCATCGCAGATGAGGAAATGTGCAGACTGCTGGGGGTTGCTGGTTTGATTCCCATACTCACTGACCGTTTGAGGGAGGAGGAGAGCTGCCAGATGTGGTCTGGATCCATCCCAGCTGGATCCTTCTGCATGGCCACCAGGAAGATGTTCTTCTCTTTGTAGGAGGTGTACAGCGTGAGGATGCCCATCATGATGAAGTACGTGAGGAAGAGGAGTTAGGGAAAGCCAACACGCTCATCATCATCATCATATTAGACGGAATCATTTCTACAAACGTTTGTTTTTGTGTTTCAGTGACATTCATGAGACTTTCGGTGTTTTTAATATGTAAAAACATTTTTACGTTTTTCTCTTTCATCTGTCGTTTCTGAATTTTGAATCTTATTTCAACATTTTTCCCCTCACATGTTTAACATATGACACACTGTGAGTTCACCATCTTATTTTTTAAAAGCAGAGGTGAGATGTGTCCGGCTGAAGGATATGAGATGACGCAGCAGGCGAGGACGGGTCTGGACTCGGGGAAGGGGTGCAGATAGTCCCAGACCAGAGCCAGCATGGCAAACAGACAGGACACAGTGCAGATCAGCAGGCGCCCGTCGACCAGCTGGAAGTTCTCCAGGTAACCGTACTTCTCCAGCAGCACCTGCAGAGGGCCCAGAGGTCATAGATAGGTCATATCGATATGAAGTTTAGCCAAACAAGGTGAACAGCAGCTTTCCTTCACATGCGTTCATGACTCATCGCGATGAGTGAAAAATCCCAGCCGGCAGTGAAGCTCTCACACGCATGCTGGCTTTATGCTGCAAACATCATTCAAAGCTTAAACAAGTGACGAAGTTTCGACTGTAGCTGTGTCCATAGACTGCGTCCTCCGAAGACCGAGAAGACCAAAGAGCGAGGCTGTGAAATGTGACGGTCCAGCCTTCAGTTTTGTGTCACCGCTGTCTGGGTGGAGTTTAATGAACTCGCCGTCTGCTCCTTGCTGTCTAAAATATAACAGGACACCGGAGTAAACTCTCGACCGTCTCACACTTCTGTTCAATCAGTTTTCTGTTTGACGTTTATTCAGCTGTGTGAAAACTAACTTTAATCTCAGCCACACAGATTCACTCAGGAACAAATAAAACGCTGAAAGAAGACAAACAATAACATCTTTAGGTTGTCTAAGTGACTCATATATCACGTTTAACCTGAGTAGCAAAAGTCCGCGGTGATCTGAAAGCGATCCTCCGGGAGTTGTGCCGTTCTCGGCGGCTTCAGTGACCCTCGAGCTCCCGGTCAGCTGTCGAGCTGGTGGGTAACAGACTGGTGGGTAACAGACTCTGAAAACGTTGAAGCACTTTTACAAATATGTGGCGTCTTCATAAACCGAGCAGATATTTGAAGTTTTCACAGCTGCTTTCTCTGAAAATATGTTAAAAGTTTATTTTGTGACCCAGAAAGATTAATAACAGTAATATTAAAACTTAGTAGCGGCCGCCATTGTTGGAAACTGGAGTTTGGCTGGGCCGCGCTATGAATTCTGGGATATGGTGGGCCACGAAGGACACACCCGACACATCCTTCAAATTCGGGGAAAAGGAGGACGCATTTGTCGGCTGCATTCGGAGGAGTCTACGAATTTGGACAGCCTTCGGCGCGTCGCTGTGACGTAATCGGTCTACAAATGCGGCCTCAGGAGGAAGCAGCCCAGGAATTTGGACACGCCCCCTGTGTGAATCTGACGTCATCAGCTAAAATCCGACCAATGAAATTAGCTCCTTGAAGAAACACTGCTCAGGTTGCTTCAAACGTAGGAGTTCCCTCCTCCCACCTTCACACAGCTGCAGTTCTCCACCCTCCTCTCATCTGAGTGAACCTTTCCTGTTTACTTTTACTTAAAACATCTTGCTCTAAACCAGAGTCATTCATGTCTCCGAAACATGGACGTAAACTGCTGGAACGTTTCAATGAGAACAAGTAACACATGCGGCTCATGTTTGAATATTTGCTGTTAACATGTGGATAAAAATAATAAATTAAACCTTCTTCGCAGCGTCATCCAAGGAGTTCTTCACCGCTGCTCCATCCCATTTATCAATCTTCACCGGCTTCTCGTCGATCCTCCACTGAAACACAAACACAGCAGTTTAATCGACAGTTTCCATCTGAAGATCAGGCTAACATAAGCACGGAGGCGGCGACTGCAGCTCTTCTCAGCGAGAGTTCATGTTGAGGGCGGAGACATCATCTTCCTGTCATCGTATGATGGAAGCTAAAGAAATCTGAGCCTTAAAATGAGTTTCTAAAAAATGGGCTTAAAGAATATTTGCATGTTAAAAATCTGGAGGGGACGAGATCAACAGAGAGGTTTTGGAGGCTCGTCGCAGTCCAAAAACTGAAAGAAGACAAAGACCAGGGCGCCATCAAACACAGACCATCAGACCGGAAACAAGATACATGCTCTTACAGTGAAGGGCGCCTGATCGCAGGTCAGCTGGTGACTTCCTGCTCTACGCCCCCCACTGTGTCTGACACCAGCAGTTTAAAAGCCATGTTTGCTTTAATGCAGGAAGTGACCCAGAAACGTGCTCCAGGAATTAACCGCCCCCCCTCCGCAAAAGAACAAGAGTTATTGTGCCCACGTGCAGCGCCACCTGCTGCAGATGTTTTACCTGCTTCATGTGTGGAAACGTAAAGCTTCATTCTGAAGCACGCCTCCTGCACTCCTACATCACCTGTTTAACAGACGGGTGAGTTTAGTTGAACTGTCTGTTTCCGGTTTGGTGCAGCTGTTTAACAGCTGGAAGCAGGAAATAGAACAAACCGCTGAACTTTGACCTCTAATAACGGTTTATTTCCCACGCAGAGGTTAAACTCGGCTCTCAGCTTCATGCTCAACTTTGTTTTTATTTTGTTTTCATTCTGAATGTATCCACTTTAGCTCGTTAGCATTAGCTTAGCCCCTTAGCGGCGGCTCACACAGACACACACCGAGCCGCACAGCAGCTGCAGCGGGGACATAGACCTCCCAGCTCCGGGACACAGACCCTCCCCGCAGGGGTTCATCCTGCTCAGGAGAATCCGTTCACGCTTTTACTCACTTTCTCCAGCAGCCCGCTCTTTCTGTTCCCCGCAGCTGCAGCCGCCATCTTCTCTTCCGCTACAAACACGGCTCTGTGACCTGGATGCAGCCGATTGGCTGTCCACCAAAATCATAGCGCTCGACGCGCATGTCGTCACCACGTCTGCAAGCGTGGCCGAGACAGCTGCGGCGTGCGCGCTCATGTGGAAAATACAAACGACTCAAAAATGAAATGAATAAAAACGAGGTTCAGTTTTTAGCGAACAGCCAGGAGGCCTTTATTTAGAGAATCTGACACCTTAAAGCGCGTATGCTACCGCTGTATATAGTGTATTATCTTACTGAGTTTATATTTGTTTGTGTTTTATCTGTATCTTTATCCTTCTGGTATCTACCTGAGCAGAGGCAACGCAAAACAAAAACCCGCCGTGGAATCAATGAAGTCTTATCGTATCTCTTATAACTTACTGAAGGCCTCCATTTTGAAAATCTCAAAGTAATTTTTTGTCAAAAACCACATGTGCAGAACATACTCGGGAATTTTAAATTGCAGTGCTCCCACAGCCCTCAGTGTTACACTAAAACAGATTACAGTGTTATACACACACAACAGAGTCCAACACAATCCAAGAGTTTGTGTGCAGTGTGTGGGGGGTCAGAGGTGGATGCAGGTCTGGAGTTGGTGTGTGTGAGAGTTCAGCATCCTGACAGCCTGATGGATGAAGCTGTCTCTCAGTCTGCTGGTTCTGGGCCCGAGGCTCTTCAGTCTGATGGCAGCAAACTGAAGAAGCTGTTGGACGGATGGGTGGAGTCTCTGTGATGCAGAGAGCTTTCTGGATGAGGCGGATGCAGCAGATGTCCTGGAGGGAGGGAAGAGAAGTACCCATGATCCTCTCCGCTGCTCTCACTACCCGTTGTAGCTGTTTCCAGCAGGAACCAGTGCAGGATACCACACAGTGATGCAGCTGCTGAGGATGCTCTCCACGGTGCCTCTGTAGAAGGTGCTCATAATGGGGTTGAGGCTCTCGCTGCCCTCAGTTTGTGGAGGAAGTAGAGTCACTGTTGGGCTTTGCTGACCAGTGATGCTGTGTTTTCTCACCAGGAGAGATCTTCTGAGATGTGCACACCCAGGAACTTGGTGCTGCTTACCCTCTCCACAGCAGCACCATTAATGGTTAGTGGGGTGTGCAGGGTGTGAGTTCTCCTGAAGTCTATGCTGATCTCCTTAGTCTTCTCCACATTCAGGGACCGGTTGTTGTTGCTGTACCACTCAGCCAGATGGTTAGCTTCACTCCTGTCGTGGAGTGAAGCTAAGAGAAGCAGTCAACGGAAAGATAATAGCACTGTTTTAACGGCACTGTCTTCCAACTGCGTCCAAATGCAGCAATTCATTTACTCAAACTCATAACAGAAAGAAAGAACGGCAGCAGCCGATGTTCAGAAAAAACACAAGCTTTTATTTAGATAGAAACCACAATGGAAAGAAACAAAGAGAAACTGGCTTCTTTTTTCCACTGTAACGGTTTTTATCTATATTACACACTCAACAAAATTCAGCACAAAGTAAGTTAAAAATCAAAATGTCTCTTCCAGCGAAGATTAAAAAAAAAACTCAGAGGCAAAATTAAGTCTTTTGTGTGATTTGGCGAATCTCAAATAAATAAATGAATAATAAAGTAGATACATTAATACTTGGGCCGCCACAAACGATTATAGTCGACTAGTCACCGATTATTTTTGCGATTAGTCCACTAATCAGATCATCATCCATTGGACGTACAACTACAGCTTATTGCACCAGCAGCATCTGCTCTTATATAACTATCATTAGCTTACAGCTTTAAGTGTTTAAGGTGCTAACTAACAATAAAGACAAGATGATAGTTTATTAAACTTCACCAAAACAATCTGCAAATTTCATTAAAATTTAATAAACTCCTTGCTATCTAAAATATAACAGGACACCGGAGTAAATTCTCCAGCATCTCACACTTCTGATAATCAGCTGTCTGCTTGACGTTTATTCAGCTGTGTAAAAACTATAACTTTAATCTCAGCCAAACCGATTTACTCAGGAACAAATAAAATACTACAAAAGCCAAACAATAACATTTTTAAGTTATCTCAGTGACTCATATATATTTAACCTGAGTAGCGAAAGACGGCGGTGGGTTTGAAAACGATTTGCCGGGAGTCCGATGTTCTCACGGCGCTAGTGACCTAGCCCCCGGCTAGCTATCGAGCTAGTGGGTAACAGACGTCTCCGAAAACGTCGGAGCGCTTTTGAAAATATGCGGTGTCCTGATAAACTGAGCAGATATTTGAGGTTTACACAGCTACATTCTCGCCTGAAAATATATTAAACGTTTATTTTGTGACCCAGAAAGAATAATAAGACTAACATTAAAACTAACTAGCTGCCGCCATTGTTGGAAGCCGCGCTATGAATTCTGGGACACAGCTGCTTCTTCTTCTTCGGGGTTTAACGGCAGCTGGCATCCTTGTACATGCAGTGCTGCCATCTTCTGTTTCAGTCCGTTATTACACTCTTAAATCCTGCTACTTATTCCTGCGTCTTTTGGGATCTTACAAAGCTTCAAACGACGCGTCGACTATTAAATCAGTCGTCGACGATTTTGATAGTTGATGTAATCGTGACTAGTCGACTAATCGTGGCAGCCCTACTTAATACCAAAACAATCGAGAAGTGGAGGTAAAACATTCCCTCTAAACAAAACGTATAAATTCTAAAGGCACAAATCAGTGCGTGCATGATTACATTGCTCCGCCCATCAAAAAGTCTGCGCCTGCATATCACCTATTGTCGGCCGGAAAACTTTTACACATGCATGAGCACGTTTGCTGGTCGAGTTGAACTGTGCTGTCGTGACTGTCATTGTTAAGATCTGAAACAATTTCTGAGCACCGTGGTGGATGTTTTTTAAATTAACTTGGGGCTTTTATCTTTGAAAATGCTCATTAACACATGTTGGCAACATCCAAAAAGTAAGTGGAGGGCTTTATTTTGAAAACAAAAGAAGAACTTTTGCAAACCACATCTCACTCTGATACTTCCTGTCCCACAGCGCTGTGGAGCTCAGCCAGAATGAAACACTGTTTTCAATGATGTTCTAATGTTACAGGCTTTGCTGGTTTCTATTTCACTAAACTCTCTGTGAATATCAGACTTCACAGCAGCTGCTTTACAGCATCCTTCATTTTGATTTGGGGAATGAAACATGGAGTAACTGAGTTTGTAGCATCACCTTCAACCTGCTGAGTTTTTGATGGCGATATTGTTTGCAGTTGATGGAGGACGTCCTGCTGCACTTCCTGCTTCTTCTTACCAATCATCGGCAATCTGCGGGACGCTCAGGTGAGCGTCTCAGGTGAGCCCTGGGCTTCAGATCACTGAGTGAAGAGAAGACAGGACACAAGCCAGCGTTTCAACTCTTTTACTTTTTCTTCCAGCAGCCGCTCATACAAAACTAGTCAGTTACAAAGGATCAATGTCATCTGCTCATTTGGCACTCAGCGTGACCCCTGACCCCGTCCACCTACCCCCACCTGAACTCTCTGCACCCACCAAAGAATACAAAACAGAAACGTGCACATCTTTAATGGTTTAAAAAAAAAAAAGAAGCCCTTCAGCTCCATCAAGACTTCAAATTAAACTTTAACAGCTGATGATGATGATGAAGGCCAGGAATCATTGAGGATGCAGAAATGTAAAAAAAAAAGAAAAAAAACAGAGGAAACAGCAGGAATGTTATTATCTAAACCAATCACCTAAACCTCCAAAGCCTGCAGTTCCTCCACCGTCCAGCAGAGGCAGCAGACTCCCGTGATAAAATGAACACGTCTGCAGCCTGATACACACTGGTGGTCTCTGTGGATCATTTCCCTTCATGACACCTGCATTTTACGCTCACATGGTTTGAATTTGATTCACTTTTATTTATTTAGCACCAAATCACAACAACAGCCGTCTCAAGTCGCTTTATATTGTAAACTAAAAGTAGTAATACAATTATTAGGGGCGTGGCCTCTTACCTCCGGTAACTCCAGTCATTGAACTGGACCTGGGTTTGTGCTGCTGGCAGACATGACAGGGAGCGAGCACTGCAATCTGTCAATCACAGGTAGCCCCGCCCTAACCTGCTTCCTGTGACTCTGACGGCACCATCATCTCCAAAATGATGATCAACCAATCAGGAAAGTGTTAGTGAGCACAGAGACCATGTGAGTGTCTCAGATTTTTGAGTTGCCACCCCCTGCTGGACATCAGAGAGAATGCAGGTTTAAGGAGCTACACCTTTATTTTACATCCAGCCTGTGAGCTGCAGTCTGGTTCTAACGCCACCCAACCTCATTGTTTCTTTGCAGGTGTTCAGGTAGAGGAACTGCAGAGTAACTACACCAACACGTTGGATGTTTGTGGGCGTGTCCTCAGTTTGTCCCCGCCCTCACATCTTCTTCCTCACATCTACATACGACCCCCAGAGTGAATCATGACATTACTGAGGCTCAGTGTGAGTACGGCTTTTCTAACAGCGACCCACCAGCGCTCAGCGTCGTTCAGACTGCCTCTGATCTGAGCACAGTCTGAACACAGCGTGGCGCTGCACTCAGACTAACCACTGACAGAGCTTAGCATGGAGAAAAAACACGTGTGTTGAGGAACCAGACATCTGGACGGCCTGCAGGAGCTACAGCATCACCGATCCAACACAAACGACCTGCAAACAGAAGCCGTGCAGCTCCTTTGGAACGCTGAAGCAGAGTGTGAAAGTGAGCTCAGACCAAGCACGTGCACGCCCACCTTCAGTCTCAGCTTCAGGCTGAGGCTGAGGCTCCTGCAGGGGCGTGGCAGCGAGCTGCAGTTTCTGACAGCTTAAACATGGTTTCAGCCTGAAGGCTTCGTGTGGACCTCTGCTGCACTGACGGAGCGATCAAAACATTAAAAAGATCCAGATTTGGAAACCACCTCACGCATTTCCTGTAACTCTGACAGTATGAAATGCTGCATGAAGGCAGTTTCTGCATTAAATATGTTTACGTTGCAGACAGAAAACAGCTGACTGTGAGGGGTGAAGGGTCAGGGTGGATTTTGTCCCCAAAAGCTTGAACTCGCTCACTGATTGGTTCAGCTTGGCCCAATCGTGGAAGTTTCTCTACATAGAGATGGGGCTCTAACCTCGCTGCTAAATGGCTGTCGGCTCTACAGCCACCTGCCTCACCTGCTTCCTGTGGACCACAGGTGACGTTCTAACTGACTCCAGCGTGATTTTTATAAATCAATAATTATTAAAAGTACCACAGTCAGAGCTCTGTGACCACAGTAAATTCACATTTGGTCTGAATGCACCAGCATCTAACATCACAGGCCATAAAGCTCGTCCAATCACACGGCTCCTCGCTCCTTGAGAGTGACCAGGTGAGTCTCCTGATCCGAATTCAGGTAGAAATCCTTCCTGACCAATCGGGTTCTAAAGACTGCAGTCCCCACGAGCCTCGGCAGCTCCGACTGGAAGACCAGGATGACACCAGCAGCTATACTAGAGGAAGTTTATGTCCCATGATCCTCAGCTGCTGGGAGAAGTCTGACTCAACACCTCCTTATATTTGAGCGGGTTCTGGTTTCTCCTGCATTCCCAACACATGCAGGTCAGCTGGACTTTGATTAACCTGTGGAAAGTTCTCACGAGGATAAACCAGGGGTAACTTCCACCTGCCCGGGGCAAAGACGTGCTGCTGACCCCCTCTGGCCAACAGAAACCTGCGTCACAGCGACCGTCGGTGCTCCTCAGTATCACCTCAGAGGGTAATACCAGGTACATGTCACGCTTTCAGGGGTGGAGGGTTACCTGCACACCCAGAGGGACCGTCAGGTAGGAAGTGATGTGTTCAGATATGTGTTCACTTCAGATATGAATGAAGAGACGCGTGTCACGCTCTGAGCTACCGAAATACATACGAATCATGATTTTGGACTTTTGGAAAGTTCTGACAGTCTGGAGTTTTGGAGCCAATAAAAAAAATCACTTTTAACTATTTGATTCAAACTGGGCTTCATAAACGGTCACAAATACAAAGAGATTTCTGTCACAGGCCGACACTCACGCTAGCAGCAAAGGAAAAGTCCCTCATCTCATTTCTTTCCATAAAGCTCCTTTTAGATTTTCCTCGGCCTCTGGGAGATCACTGTGAGGTCGGTGAGATTTAAATGAACTATATTAATAAACATCATCATCATCATCGCGTGGAGCGCACCGGACTGAACTGACAGAGTCGTGTTCGGCCCGGCAGCGTGCGGCCTGCCTTCATCTGAACCTTTGCAACAGTTCAGATGATGCGCAGGCACAAATACGGATTAAACACCGCCGTCGCCTTCAGCGGTGTCGGGATGCGAGGTGATGTTCAGCTCAGACATTGTGACCTTCAGGGCCTCACATCCACCCTGGATCTATAACTGGAAGCTCAACATAAACATCCTTTGCCCCGGGCCACGTGACTATGGTTGAACCTGTGAAAGCTTTCTTTGTTCCAGCTGCAGAGAAACGACTCGGCCATGCGATCTGTAAAAAAGCTCAGATTAAGCCTCTGAGTTCAAACACTTCCAGGACGTTTCCTGTGGTGATGACTGTCGCGCCGTCCTGCAGCTGAAGGTTCAGTTTTTGGTGATCTGCTGGTGTTTGGAAGAAACGTCTCCAGGTTACAAACCCGTTTGTCAGACGAGTGAAAACATTCATACGTTCATTAAACCTTCGCCTTTCGTGTCTTTGCATATATGAGATCCTGCCCGTCTGTCTAGTGCTTCTTGTTGATTCGTCTGGACCTCCTCAGGCCACGCCTCCTGCGGCTCTGAGTGGACATCCAGGACCGCAGGAAATACTTGTCGGGGCTCCTTCTACGGTTCTGGTTCTCGCGGTCGAACTGTCTCTGCAGCTTCAGGGCGAGCGCTCGATCCTGCCGCTCCTGCTGAATCTGGCAGATGTACCGTTCGTCCAGCGCTTCCTGGTTGACGGGCCGGCCCCTCTTCAGATCCAAGTCGCGGCTCGAGTCCAGGTGTTTGGTCTTCTGCTTCCTCTTCTTGCCCCTCCGTGAGGTAGTCTGGTTGTGGATGCTACTGTCGGACTCCTTTCTGGGACTCTGAGAGTCCTTTGGCACTAACTTACAGGACTGCACCCCAGAGTTCTTGGTGTAGGGCGAGAACGACTGTTTCCGACTGAACAGCGCCCCCGTGCTGCAGGACTCAGGAGTGCCGGCTGGCGGCTCAAAGCCTCCCTTGAAGGTCGACTCGCTGCTGTAGCGGATCGCGGGGACGCGGATCTTCACCGACTGCTTCTGGAAGCTGTCCGTGTCACCGGCTGGAGAGTCGAACAGCAGCCTCCTCTTGTTTGCTGACGTCACTGCGTCTCCTGCCGGGGACTGGCGCGTCTTTGCACCCTCGCCACCCATGCCGAGCTTGTTGTGGTTTACCTCGGAGACGGGGCTCGTCAGCGTGGCCTTGGAGTTCACCTTGAGGCTCTGGCGGTCCAGCTCGATCTGCCTCCACTTCTGCAGGACGGCAGGGCTGGCCTCGTAGCTGGTGGCCTTCTGCAGACCGCGGGTCAGGTTCCGGGGCGTGGACTTCACGATGGTGGGCTCCATCAGGCGGCCGTCCGGGAGGCGCTTGGGTGGCGTGCATGGCGAGCAGACGATGGGCTTGAAGTGGTTGAGCTCCTCGGAGATGCTGTCGTTGCTCTCGGGGCTGATGGAGCGCTCCGGGCGGGGAGGAGGCATGCACAGGAGAGCCGAGGAAGATGATGTCAGCACAGCTCGCCAGGTGAGCCTCCGATCGGGAGCGGTGATGGGGGCGGAGATAGAGCGGCTGTTCTCAGAGGAGAGGAGGATTCCTGCCGCATAGCTGTGGCTGATGCCAACCTGGCGGAGGACACAAGAACACAAGTCAGCAACCACACAGGTGAAATATAAGAATAAACGCCATCACCAGGCCCCGTTTTATACACTTGTATGGATTTTTTCTGTAAAACCCGACACTTCCTTCTGATGGATGCTGTGCTGTTTCCATGCAGAGACTGGACTCTACACAGCTGGACCTGTGAGCATGTTTGAGTAGAAGGCGACTCCTTTAAGAGTTGTGATGTTTCACCAGGTATTTGAACTGTAGTGGGGTGGTATCCACACGATGTGTCAGGCAGACAAGGAGGCAGAGGTTTGTCACTCTAATGCCTGCCTGATGGTGCAAGCTCACAGTGAAAGTTCAGGATGTGGACCCCAAAGCACTCTATAGACCAGGGGTGGGGAACTCCAGGCCTCGAGGGCCGGTGTCCTGCAGGGTTTAGATCTCACCCTGGGTCAGCACACCTGAATCACATGAACCTCAACACATGTTGAGGAGGTCCTTTAACCATTTGAGTCAGCTGTGATGAACCAAGGACACATCTAAAACCTGCAGGACACCGGCCCTCCAGGCCTGGAGTTTGACACCCCTGCTATAGAGCCTTTTCCATTAATACCTGTTTGAATCGACTGGTTTTCCATTACAGCCCAGTGCATTGTCATCAGGGCAATGTGTCTGCGCGTCTCACAACGTAATAGACCCTGTGCACGAGAAAATGCTAACTTCCTGTTTTAAGACCGGATGTGGGGTTTAGAGCTGCCACAAACGATTATTTTGATAGTCGACTAGTCACCGATTATTTTTGCGATTAGTCGACTAATCAGATCATCATCCACTGGACGTAAAACTACAGCTTATTGCACCAGCAGCATCTGCTCTTATATAACTATCATTAGCTTACAGCTTTAAGTGTTTAAGGTGCTAACTAACAATAAAGACAAGATGATAGTTTATTAAACTTCACCAAAACAATCTGCAAATTTCATTAAAATTTAATAAACTCCTTGCTATCTAAAATATAACAGGACACCGGAGTAAATTCTCCAGCATCTCACACTTCTGATAATCAGCTGTCTGCTTGACGTTTATTCAGCTGTGTAAAAACTATAACTTTAATCTCAGCCAAACCGATTTACTCAGGAACAAATAAAATACTACAAAAGCCAAACAATAACATTTTTAAGTTATCTCAGTGACTCATATATATTTAACCTGAGTAGCGAAAGACGGCGGTGGGTTTGAAAACGATTTGCCGGGAGTCCGATGTTCTCACGGCGCTAGTGACCTAGCCCCCGGCTAGCTATCGAGCTAGTGGGTAACAGACGTCTCCGAAAACGTCGGAGCGCTTTTGAAAATATGCGGTGTCCTGATAAACTGAGCAGATATTTGAGGTTTACACAGCTACATTCTCGCCTGAAAATATGTTAAACGTTTATTTTGTGACCCAGAAAGAATAATAAGAGTAATATTAAAACTAACTAGCTGCCACCATTGTTGGAAACTGAGCTTGTCACTACCCGATCCGTACCGGAAACCCGATCGGTACCCCGCATGCGCGAAACGTTTCTACTTCCGGTCGTAGCGTTTTACGATAGTTATGGGTCAGAGTATCTGTTAAGATGTTAAGAATAACAAGTATATCTTAAAATGTTTGCAATAATGAAGCATTTCAGTAGAATGTAGACAAAAACGAAAAATAAAAAGAAAGTTACGGATCAGGACTCTCCGATCCTTACTGCGCATGTG